AAGCCAAGCAAAACCTTCCCCAGGCCTCAGAGTCTCAGCTTTCAGCACCCAGTTCCCCCAGAACTTGAATTCTGAGGGCCCGGGTTTGTCTGTCATGGGAACGTGATCAATGGCTTCTGCTCCTCCCACCCCAGAGGACCTAAGATTCCCGTCACCCAGGTCCTATCTTCAGGACTAAGTGCACCATGAAAGCGCCCATTAAGGCGTAGCAACCGTGGCCTCTTTCTTCTCTCATGGGTGGCCATCTACTCCCCAGAGACAAAACGTCAGAACAGAGACTTTGAGATCCCAAACCCAGAGAACAATCCCAGCTTCCTAAAACCAAAGCCCCCGTCCTTCAGATTAGGGAATCCAGGCCCCAGTTTCCCTCAGACCCAAGAATTCAGTCCCTGTTTATCAAACTCAGGCCTACATATCTAACCCCCTCCTCCCGAGGACCAGGATTCCAGGCCCAGGCTCCTCCTTCAGACTCAAGACTGTCTCTCCCTTCTCTGTCTTTCCCTGTCTCATCCTCCCTGGCCTCTCTCCTCAGGTCCCGGGGATTATTCTCTCACTGCTGCTTTTCTTCTTAAGCAGCAGAATCTTTGTGTCTCCAGAGTGTCCTCACCAGATCGAGGGCTTGGAAGGTGCTTCCTGATATGTTCCTGTCTCGTGTCTGTCTTCTCCAGGGTCCCTGACAGAGGCACCCTCGGCCACACAATACACTCGAGGTCCCTTTGGCTTCTGAGAACCCTTTGCAAACTCCATTGGATAAGTCTGGAGAATCGCTGCATCTCATTGGCTCCCCGAGATGACGATTACTCGCCTCTTCACGAGGCACGCAAGCGCAGAAAGTGAGTGTTGGCCAACGGTCTGTGGGGTCAGTGACAGTTGCTGCCGAGGTCACCTGCCAATTGCAGGGTCACGTGATATCCTGGAGGGTTGTGTGGTAGAAGCTCTTTTCCCTGTCCCTCAAAATGCTTCAAAATTAGGCTGGACGTTGGTGGCATCGCACGCCTTTAATCCCAGCACTCGGGAGGCATCTCTGTGAGTTCGAGGCCAGCCTGGTCTCCAGAGTGAGTGTCAGGACAGCCTCCAAAGCTACATAGAGAAACCCCGTCTCGAAAAACCAAAAAAAAAAAAAAAATGTAGTCATGAACAGGAAGCTGGCTTCACCGCAGATGGATGTCACCAATATTTACCCTCATCACTACTGTTAGGATGACCACTTAGACGATACATAATTGCCAGTTCTTTTATTACATTTTACTATGTCTTGTGTGTGCGTGTTGAGAATCGTCTGTCAAGGTGCACATGACAGGGGACAATTTGGGGAGTCATTTTTCACCTCCCACCGTGTTGTCCCAGGAGTCAAACTCAGGATTTCAGGCTCGTGGACAGGTGCCTTCACCTGCTGAGTTATCTTTCTGGCCCTCAGTTTTCTTTTAAATAGTAAGTAACATACTAATTATATACAAAGTAATAGCTGCATTGCAATGCTTTCCTAAGGTCATGAACAGTCTTATATTATCTTTGGAGACAGAGTCTTCTGATCCAAGATGGCCTTGAAACTTCCTTGTACCTGAAAGTGACCTTGAACTTCTGATCCCTCTGATCTCTCTTCCTGAGCTGCTGGTGGGTGCTGCCATGTATGCGGCACTGGACATGGAGGCCCGCTAGGCAAGCCGTCTACCAGCTGAGCCCCAGGCCATGTTAATGTTTATTTCTTCTGTTTGGGAGTGCATAAAAGCCCAGAAAGCGTAAGAGTCATACAGAGGGCTTGGAGCAGACAGAAGAGAAAGCAGAGACACATTCCGAGTGTTGGTTGGTACTAAAGTGCACGGTTAATATCGGTTATGACTTTTCTGGGTGATGGAAGCGATCCCCGTCACCAGTGGAGGGTGGTTGGACAAGGGGGAGAGACAGAGTGTCCCCATGTATCTTGAGAGGTGATAAGGAGATTTCTGGGAAGGGTGAGTCATCATCCAGACTCCATCACCAAAAGAAAGGACACAGTGGTCCCTTGAAGAAACCTGGAACCTGTCAACAGGCTGTTCTCAGTGGGGAGCTGTAGGGAAAGCTGTAGCCACGCCTTCTTAGGGGCTGGCTACAGGTGTGCCTGACCAGGCCTGTGAGGGCGTGGTCAGAGTGACTGCGTTTTTGGTTTCGGTTTCTCTTTGCATCTTGCTGTACAGACCTCTACCACGCCAGCTGGCTAGGTCGCTCTGTAAGTAAGGCTTTTCCCTATTAAATACCCTTATATTTCTACCTGACTCCGTATTGGTAATTCCCCACAATAGGGAGGGGCAGTCACCAAATTGAAAGGCGAGCTTGCCAGCCACACCAAACCGAACAGAATGTGCTTACCAGAAGTGTAGGAATGTAGGGAGTTTCAGGGAAAGCTCACCAATTAGCTGCTGCTGGATGGAGATGGCTGGCAATGAGGGTCCCGACTTTTGAGAACTGGGCTGTTGAGCTGACCTGTAGCCAGATCCAAGGCACGGAGAGCATCAGGGAAAGGACCAGTGACTTCTGAAGACACCCCAATACCAAGATCTTTGCACAAAGGAGATTTATTTGTCCCAGGGGGAAGAGGACAGGGAATAATTGACAAAGACAGGAGATGGAGAGGAAGAAGGGGTAAGGGACAAGAGAAGAAGGGATATCTGCCCCGGGGGCGGGGGGACAGAGGATTGCCTCTGGATAGACAGGAGACAGATGTGGCCCATAGGTAAATGGTGGTTTATAAAGGTAAAAGAGGAAACCAAGGATTAGGATGAGGTGTTTAATTTTAATTGGGCATGTTAATTAGGGCAGCCAAAGGGGGCTTCTGATTGGTGGACTTCTGTACTTTGATAGCTGGACCTTGGTAGTCAGCCTCAGGAGGAGGAAGTGCCCAAATAAGGGAATAGACCATGGTGGCTACCTTTAGGAATGCAATCTAACAGTTTTTAGCAAGGAAAAGGGAATATTGGAAGGGCAAGGCCTGCTAGAGCCGTGTTTGTCATGCTCAGGCCTACCAGAGTCCCCTCAACAGCTATATGGTACAGGGTATGGGCAAGTAAGCCACCCACTCATAGAGCAGGAGCATAGCGGTTGGGGAAGAGTTCAGGGTTAGGAAACACATGAGGAGCCACCGGATCACAGAGGAGGTGGTATTGAACCCGGACAGTAAGAGAACACCAGCTCCAGGGACCTCATGAGTGACAATGAGGACATGGAGGTTCCAAGGTATTGTTGAGGAGGATTTTATTGCAGATATAAGGACGACGACAGCCAGAGGCATCTGGACACAGTAAGACCCGGTTGCTGAAGACACCACAGAACACGGAGACATTATGCTGGGACTTAACTGGAAATGTCCATCCTGCTGTTGGCCTTTACAGTGCTGGAAGGGGACGTGTGGGCTGCTGGTGGAGAATTGTAACCAACATTTCTCTTTGGCTGTGGACACTGTGGGCTGAAATAGTAAATGCATACGGGATGTGCCTGCTTGTGCAATAGTGGTTTGGTGATCATAGGTAAAGCCTTTTGGTTGAATTTAAGGCCCATTTCACAGGAGGAAGTTCACATGGGTCTCTCTGAGTCCCCGTCACTTCTTCCCCACCTTATTTATCAGGTAGCACTGGGGTCACTCTGGCATCAGAGAAACTCAGAGAAGCCCAGAGAAGACAGAAAATTCTTGTAGGTCCCTATCTGCTACAGAATAAATCTGACCTCTTAAAGGGTTGTAGAGATGGCTCAGAAGTTAAGTGCACTTGCTGCTTTTTGAATTATTGAATTTCCCTCCCAGCACTTAGGCACACACACTCTCCAGAAATCAGGCAGGCAGGCAGGCAGGCAGGCAGAGAGTGATTGTATTTGTCTTTGTTTCTGGCCTGTGCTAACTCTAGGGTACACTTGAATGTGAAGCCAGTCTGTCCTAAATTGCTTGAACCTTGCAATTAACTGGGTCTCATGTTTTGTAGTTGCAATTCTAAGACTCAGCCATGGATAACCTACACCAGAATCCAGCATCTCTGTTCCCATAGTGTCTAGATGCAGGATACAGGGCCCAGAAGTCCTCTGTTTTGAGCCTCAGCACTTCAGATCCCAAGCAGAACCTTCTCCAGGCCTCAGAGTCTCAGCTCTCAGAACCCAGCTCCCCCAGAACTTAAATTCTGACTGCCCTGGTTTGTCTGTCCTAGGAATGTGTCATCTGGTTTCTGCTCCTCCCACCCCAGAGGACCTAAGATTCCCGTCACCCAGTTCCTATCTTCAGGACTAAGTGCAGAAAACTCAGCACCTTGCCATGAAGTATAGCAACCGCGGGGTCATGGGTGGCCATCTATTCCCTCAGAGGCTTCCAAGAGATACAATGTCCAGAACAGAGATTTTGAGATCCCAGACCCAGAGAACAATCCCAGCTTCCTAAAATCAAAGCCCCCGTCCTTCAGATTAGGGATTCCAGGCCCCAGTTTCCCTCAGACCCAAGAATTCAGTCCCTGTTTATCAAACTCAGGCCTACATATCTAACCCCCTCCTCTCGAGGACCAGGATTCCAGGCCCAGGCTCCTCCTTCAGCCTCAAGACTGTCTCTCCCTTCCCTGTCTTTCCCTGTCTCATCCTCCCTGGCCTCTTTCCTCAGGTCCCGGGGATTATTCTCTCACTGCTGCTTTTCTTCTTAAGCGGCAGAATCTTTGTGTCTCCAGAGTGTCCTCACCAGATCGAGGGCTTGGAAGGTGCTTCCTGATATGTTCC